GGATAGATATTTGTTAGGTCGGGGTATCAAGGGATATGGGGCAAAGGCGAGTAATTGGAGTTGAGGTACAGATCAACCACAATATTAAAGAATGGCGGAATAGGCTGGAGGCCTGAATGGCCTACTCCTGTTCCTATGCTCTGAGCTGTGGATTTCCAGATGAATCCTACCTGGTTGGCACTTGGAGCAACAGCGACCCACCTTCTGGTTGTAATAGTATCTAAGGGTGTCAGTGCAGTTCTCTCTCCGCGGCCTATCGAGTGGCTGCAGGAACATAGAGACACAAGGTTTTACCACAAAATCATTGTTAACAGTTCAGCAATGTGCCCAGTAATAAACCTTGCATTTGATACAGTAGTTCAGGTGTAAATCCTGTATCTTAGTGGTTAGACCACTCGACTCGCAAGCAAGAGGACCTGGGTTCGATTCCCAGGAAGGGCGAAATACTGGCCGACTTTCCTTACTCCACACATCTCCGTTTACCGAGCAGTAAGTAGGAACCCGGTTGTTGGTCAATTAGCAGATTGCTTTTCTGGGGGTAATAATCCCTTCAGGAAAAAAAGTAACAATAACTTGGTCACTAAATTCACGATTGTTTGTGAGATACTGCTGTGCGTAATGGGCTACCGCTTTTCACACATAAAATACACAGTCATTATACTTTACAATATATTCTGTGAATCGCTTTGAGAAGTCTCGACGAAGTGATAAAGCGCTGTATCAAATGCAAGGATTATTATTATTATTACAGCGACTTTCACATCAGGATGATGGCCAAAGTGTTGCACAGGATTTACTGTAAAGTGTGGTGACTGTGAGCTTGGTTTCGAATCCTATTTAAATCTCATACACGGACATCAGTGAATGCAGAGGTGTGAAAGTGTGGTTCTGTACTGGAGCGGGTGTGGGGGTGGAGTGGGAGTTACTGTGCACCAACACCCTGATCAGCTCCGCTCCTCAATAGTGAGAGACCCACAGCTTACTCAATAGCACAGACAGAGACCCTGGGAGTGGAGGGTGAGCTTCTGGGATGCTCAGTATCAGTGCGACTCTGACACAGGAATACAGAGATCCACAAGGGTCCATCGCTGCTCTCCTCTCCAACAGAATTTAGCCACAGGAGAGGAGAGCGAGAGACTTGTGTTAAGAGAAAGAAACAGCTGCAGAGTCGGTCACTTCTCAGTTCAGCACTGAGTCAACACCGAGAAAGAAAGAACTGCTTTTCCTAAAGATAGAGGGAGAGAGTCAGTGAGAGAAGGAGAGTCAGTGAGAGAGGGAGAGAGTCAGAGAATGAGAGAGAGAGAGAGTCAGAGAGAGAGAGGGTGGGGTGGGGGGGGGGAATTCAGTGAGAGAGAGAGAGAGAGCAAGACAGTCAATGAGAAAGAGAGAGAGCGCGAGAGTCAATGAGAGAGAGAGAGAGAAAATCAATGAGAGAGATAGATGTGCCCACACTCAGAGAGAGAAAAAGAAAAAGAGTCAGAGAGGGACAAACACACATACAGAGAAAGAGAGTGACAGATCAAGATGATTCATTCTTCATGTGAACACAGCAATCATTGTCATCCTTTATCTCAATCTGTTGAAATGAAACGGTTAAAACGTGAATGTTTCTCAGTAAGCTCACCACATAATGGCATTGATCAAAGCAGTGTGGTTTGTTGACTGCTTCCCTATCCTTCAGAGGATCCAGTTCAAGATCCTGGTCCTCACCTACAAAGCTCTCCATGCCCTCTCCCAACCCTACTTCTGTGACCTCCTAATACCAACCCGCCCGCTCCCTCCGCTCAGCCGGCTCCG